CCCTCTTTCATAAGTTACATATGGAAAAAACCCTGAGAGGAAAAGCTCTACTGGACAGTAATTTGATTTTGGTGAGAAATATTACCACCATCCCATCACTGCTAAGGAAAAAAAAATCCTTTCTTTTTAGAACCACTGGAGTTAAATGACCTGTTTTTCTCACGACAGTTGAAATAGCATTAATGGTCTAAATACAACTTTACTTAGATCTTACTTTCCTTAGCACCACGACCCACGCTCTGCCCCAACCCACCCACACTGTGCAAGGTGCAGGCAGGCCGGTCCCCTCATGCCCTGGCCAGTCCCCTCATGCCTGGGCCAGTTCCCTCAGCACCTGGGCCAGTCCCCTCATGCCCAGGCCGGTCCCCTCATGCCCAGGCTTGTCCCCTCACACCCGGGCTTGTCCCCTCACTCCTGGGCTGGTCCCCTCAGCAGCTGGACTGATCCCCTTCACACCTTGGCCAGTCCCCTCACACCTTGGCCAGTCCCCTCAGCACCTGGATTGGTCTCCTCATGCCCTGGCCAGTCCCCCTCAGGCCCAGGCCGGTCTCCCCTCAATGTCTGGGTTCCCTCACGCCTGGTGGGCAGGAAGGCGCCGCACCTCAGGCAGTGCCCTGACAGCGTGAATTGATAACACCTGGAACTGCCGCTTCTGATGAACTGGGCAGAACTGCTCCTAACAGCAAAGATGGAGGGTCAGATAACATCAGGTCACCTCCAGAAAGGTTCTAGTGTGGGTTTTCTCCCTCAGGACTTCGAGGACTGGATGCGGTGCTTGATGCCGTGGTCTGGTTTTGCTCAAAGGTGGTGGTGTTTGGTCAAAGGTTGGACTTGATGATCTCAGAGGTCTTTTCAAACCTTAACAATTCCGTGCTTCTAGGACTTCACTTATTTACAGTGAAATTACAATGAAACCTGCAAAGAACTGTCTGTAGGGCTGCTCTGGTTGTGTCAGAGCAGAGAGGAACCGGTGTGACCCTTCATCAGCTCCAGCAGAAGATCCAGCTCGGACGGGCACATTCCTGCAACATCCAGGACGTGGCTCTCACTTGTGCAATACTCACACATCTTGGGGCAGTCAGGGTGTTGCTGTCACATCTCAAGGGCTCTCACACAGGTTATACAGCTTTCTGCAACTTGGTTATATTGTGCCCACTCCTATATTTGTGTAAGGATTTCCTCAGTGTGCTGTACCCTTGTTGATGGTCGCACTTAATTCCCAAGAAACTCAAGTACAGATCAACCAGATGAGAAATAAAACATGTCACATAAATTCATCTTGAGTTACTTTATTTTTCACAATAATAAAAAATAAATTAGTCATAAACAAAAATAGTTAACATTTTTTCATCAAAGAGAAAAAGTATACAATATGAAAAGGATACTGTACAGTTCTGGTTCAGGTACATTGCCACAGATACATATTCCTGAACGAGTCAGAAAGCAATTTGCCTATACTCTCCCCTTTAATTCACTCAAGGAACTGGCTAATCAGAAAGTTTAGAAAATTGTATTATGGATTTACAGTATGACATATATACAAAAAATATATATGTAATACCTGTGCTATAAAATTCCCTAAAAAGCTGGGTTAGTATAATGAAAAAGCTGGACAAAATTTGAATGGTATACGTAAATAAATACATATTAGGTCCCTTTTAATAAAAAAATCTGCCTATTCTAAATATTTGAAATATTTTGGCGCAGTGGCTTGTTCCATAGACACAGCTCAGAATTACATATTTCCCATAGACATCTTGTATTTACAAATAACAACAAAATAAGTTATAATAAAGTATATCCTTCTGCCCAAAATCAATTATGAGGGTCAAGTAGACAATTTTATACATATAAAAAAAAGTTAGGGTTTCTTTTGTCTCCCGTCCTTCCTGATCTTCTATGTAGATCCTGAGTGACTACTATGGGACTTCACAACTCGTATGTACCCAACCCCTGCCAAGGCCACTGGTCTCAAGAGACCCAAAGGGAGCATAGAAAAACAGGTCAGGGCAAGCAGCAATGACTGTTGCTGGAAGGTCAATGATTTATCACAATTAAGCTTCCCTCCTCTCCAGGGATGGTGGTAGTTATCTGTATCCTATTATAGCACACGGGGATATAGAAAATTGGGAGCTCTCATTCTTAAGAACTTCTGGCTGTTTAAAGCTGAGAAGCAAAGAGCTGAGTTCAGGTCTGCTGTGAGTTCTCTTACATGGAATTTTCTCCCTTTCACCAGGTCTGAATTTTGCCCACGCTACTGAGATATTATAATGATCAGAAGTTTAATTTAAAATATATTGAAAATGCTTAGTGGATGATTTTTCATTTCTGGTGTGGAAATAATTATTTTACTCCATTTTCTGAGCAATGCCTAATTTATCTCCCCCAAACATTCTGTAAGTTTAGACATAAAGGAAGTTTACATTCATGTTCAAAATGTCATGTTTTGTGTTCGAATTACAGGCGTGCACATAAATTATCTGCCCAACACACAGAACAGCTCTGAAGAAGTCAAAAACACTAAGTCTCAAGAAGACCAAGTAAACACACAGCTTTTCCTTTGTGACAAGGATAACCCTTTTTTTTATGTGATAAATGTTACTTATGAGAATAAATGGCCACTACATACTCCAATAGCTGTGCAGTCACAGGTTCATTGCATGGGGATTAATTCAGTATGTACTTTACTACTATGCATTAAAAGCTAGCCAACGTGGATACACAGAGACACAAAAATCCCTGGGCTGCCAGGAATATAGCTCTCTTAACAGCTGGGCTAATTTCTAACACTGATTCTTACAAACCACAAGGCCAGCTCAGGGCTTTCAGTAATTCTGGCAAAATTTAATACTGTAACCCAGAGGACAAAGGGATGAAAGTGAGATGAGAGGAAGAGGAGAAGAGTTGGGGGTCTGGGTGTAAAAGGGAGACAGGTCAGGATGAGAATGGGGAAAAGCAAAGCTCTTTAAAGTATATTTTACTACTTAGAGTGGTACAGATTATAAAGAGAGAAAACAAAGTATTTCCTTCAGGAAGGCATAGCCTCCCCTATACCAGCCATAAGCTGTTTGAGCCCCTACCTTCTTCCTCTCTCAGTGGTGACTGGCACTCTCTAGGACTCAGACACAAGTAAAGGAAGTAGCAAGGTCCTCGAAAAGCTGCTGCCCCATGTGGTCTTCTGTTCAAGTAGTTTAATGTACTCCTTTGAGTCTGGGCTATAATGACATATATATATATATGACTGATATATAACTGCACCATATTGTCATAAAACCGGGATCTAACCAATAACATTAATGTTAAACACTGCTTAATTCATACAGAAAGTCCTCCTTTTGCTGAAATACTGGGGAAAAAAAAGGAAAAAGATTATGAGTGTAATGAAAAAGAAGCCAGTTCCCTGTGCAGGGATGCTGAAGCAGCCCTGCATCCAGCCCATGGCCATACATTACAGTTGGCCTTCAAGGCTGCCAGGCCTGCACGATCCCCCATGTCTCCTGCACTGCACTCCCCAGCTGTTCATTGCCTCCCAACAAGCCCTTCCCTGATTCAGAGCCATCAAGGTCAGAGTCATCAAAGCAAACACTAACTCTGTCTCATTGCTGGCCATTCCCACAGGAGCAACCCTCATGCTTCCACACCATCTTCTGGGAGAGGAGGGGAGAACTCCATGAATTCAGTGCTCTCAAACTTGGCATGTAACTGCAGTACACAAGGAATTCTACCTACATATGCTTGAAGGTGACATTGCACAGGAGCTGGCAAACCCTGATGGGCCCTGGATAACCTGACAAACAACTGCACCAGGAACCCTCAGTTCCAAAGGGAAAGTGCTTGGAGACACACAGCCTGCTCTGGATGGGGCTGATTTTGGCCAGCTGCACACTGTAAACCATGAAAGCTGTAAGCAGCTGGACTGCTTAGACTCTTTAAATAAGCCATCTAACTCACTCTGGTCTTCCTTCATTGTGTAAGGTGAAAAGCTTCAAGGCAAGGAAGCATATTTTTTTACACCATTCTGCAAGATTTTGACTGATGTTAAAATGTCAGAAAAAGAAACTCAAGCATTTAAAATCAGAAGTCTGCATTATTTCTTACTTCTATTGGGTTTATATCTGCTCTAAGTCTAGTACATTCATTAAACCCACCTTTGACTTACAGCAAAAGTAAAATCAGGTCCTTCTGCAGGCATCACCCTAAGTGCCTAATGGCACTGCTCCATTAAAACAAACACTTGCTACAGGCACAATTCCAAAGTGTGCTTTGCAAGATGGTGGAATCTTAGTCCAGCACTTACTCTGTGCAGACAATATTAGTACATCAAAGTGCTGATAAAAAGGGCTTATTAGTTCATTTTGCAGGAACAACTATTTTGATAATGCTGACACATGAGATGATAAATGATTAAGTTCAGCAGCATTCTGGCAGTTTTCTTACCATTAGATGGTTAATTAGGTGAAATGGTATTTTTTGTTATATCTGATACATCTGAAACTGTCTCTTTACTTAAAACAAAAAATGTACAATTTGTATAATCATAGCTCACTGCATTTAATTCACAAAGCCGTACATATTAGGTGTGTTACAGGGTTACACTGCTATGTGTAAGTATATATTCTTTGATATTTAGCTGCCAAGAACTCTGTTTACTTTAGTGGCAGCTTAATAGAGCCTACAAGATGATCATCTTTGTCAAATAACCTCATGGCCATATATTCCAGCGCAAAATAACATATCTTATAAAACAGGAGGATCTCATGTCTGTGTGCTGAGTCACACACAGCCAGAAGCGTGTGTAAGATAATTTTCCATGGACTGACTGCAAACCTGATTAGCTCTCTGCATCTCCTCTGCCTTGGGGTTTTCAGGAAGCCTTTTTATGGAACAGGTATTTCCCTCAAGCTGACAGGATACACTTCCTTGGGACAAAAGAGATAACAACAAAAATTATACAATGTATGTCAAAATTTGTTGCAATGAGATACACAGATGAAAATCTGTATTTAGAAATACTGGATTCCAGAGTTGTTTACACTGCACTGTCTCCATAACATTCTTTGGTCGAGAATCTAAGGAATATAATATCATCACAAATCTATAAGTTATCTTCATGGATAAATCTTCATAATACAAGGGAACAGGACTGTAAAAGATTCATGAACTCAGAAGTTTTCTAATTAGCATTTCTGTTTCTAACAATTTTATATAAATTATTTACAGTAAAAAAGCCTAAGCTAAGGTGTACAGAAACAGCCAAAGACATGATTGGTTTATAGTCACAAAGATAACTTCAAATTCTAGGGGAAACACTTTTTCCTTTAATTTCCTTTAGCCAAACAGTGGTAGTTCATCATGTCTAAAATATATTTTTCACGAGTGACTGAATCAAAAAATTCAAAGGTTTGTCTCAATTCAAGGCAGCTTTTAGACTACAGGAATTCCACCTTCCTGTGGCTTCCAGCACAAACCCTGACGTGAGCAGTACCACACCCAGCAACCTTTGCCTCCCAGAGCTCCATTCCCTTTCCACGTCCTCTCCACCAGAGCAGTAAGAAGAAAAGAACACACAGTGAGGCTCAAACATGGGTCTGCATCAGTAGCAGGACACCTTAACCACTGTTATATCACATCTCTGGGAGTGACTGAACATGATTGTCACAGCTGTTTTTCAACTCAGACATCAGGCACCTTAGAAAGAGATGCATAGTTGAGCATCACTAATTTACAAAAAATATGCTGTAATAAACAGCTGAATAAGCAGTGGTGTTCATTTTTTTCCTTCAGCCTTATTTACACATTTGAAAGACCTCTCAAGCAAAGGCTAGAGAACATGCAGATAATGCAAAAACTGATCTGCCCTGCACAGCACACCCTATTTGCTTTTAGCAAGTCCCAAGGCTGAGTATGGTAATTGCAGAAATGAAAAATCACCACTTAAATTCAGCTCTTAGTCTGCAGCCATTCTTGAGTAACAGAAAAGGAGTGGTATAAATAGATCTGTGTGATGAAACATTAAGTGAAAAAAGGCAAATATGTTGTAACAACCGATCAAAACCTGAAGAATGTCAATAGCCAAGATCTCTTGACAGATACTCAGGTACTACACTCACACCGCTGCCTGACACCACGAGTAACACACGACTACAAAGCACACAGGCCTGCATCCTTTGGTGGTGGTTTCAGAAACTGGTGACACATCCAGACTAGGTCTGGACAAAGTACTTTGGTATGGTAGTTGTTAAGCAATAGTGCAGAGACAAAGGATCAGGCAAGATCCCAGTTCACTGAAATAACTGTCCTACAGGGAAGAGACCTCGCCTGGGGAAACAATCACTTATTCCATCAGCAAAGGCTCTTCACCTCTCTGCTGAATGTGTCTCACTGACAGATGGAGCTGTTAAAGACTTGAAGGGCTAGACATTAGTGTCACTCTGGTAGGTAATTATTTTAAAATCCATACAAACTTAGAAAAGTGTATCTTCAAGAGTTTATGAATTAAATATAAAGGCACTTTTTGGCAGTTAAGTGTGTATATATTTACTGCCTGAGGACAGGACATTAGTTAAAAGTACAACTGAGAGAGCTTAACAGTGACTCTAATTATGAATGGACTGAAGTAATTAAAAACATAATGTAGAGTGCTAAGAAACTGCTGACAAATGGGTCTTCAAGGGTCTGGTTCTTCGGGAAGTAATTTTTCTCATGTGCATGTTTCATTGATTTAGTCATCTAATTTAAGGCAGTCCAAAATACCAAGTAAAAGTAAGCACTCAGAAAATAATGCAGCAGCTGCATCCACACTGGTCAACTATCTCCAGTAATTGCTGCAATTGATTCAGTTTTCATTCATTTCACAATATTAAGGCTGGTATGTTCCTTAAATAATTATCTGATGAGCAGGTGCAAATAACAGTATCATTAGCAACTAATGCTTGAAAAAGATCACGGTTTTACAACAAACAAAAGAGATAACTGCACAATAACTGAAAGGGTGTGAGATTTAACCATAGTCTCGATGCACTCAGCAATACAACCCCCCCTCTCTAAGAAGCTAAGACTGCTGCAGTCAAAGCAGTAACACTGTTCCGGCTCCACGGGCAGCCCCACGCGGCTGCTTCGAGCAGAGAGTGTTTGTTATCTGCGGCCCAGGAACCCCGACTGTCTGTTTGCCACCCGGGTACAGGATGCACAACAGGCTGTCTTGTAGTAGGTGTAGACACAGAGCCTGGCCTGAACCACCACATTGCAGTTGTAGTATTTATCTTTGCAGTTCTCATCTGTGGAGGAAAAAGGAGAGACAGGGAACTGAAGAAAGAAGTAACGGAGCAACAAATAAGCAATCTCCTTTCTTTTTACCACGTAAAATCCCTTGGATCTGTATTTAAACATTCGTTCTCGGGTCAAAATAAGCTACCTATGCAAATAAGTCAGATTATTCAAGATTTTATACATTATAATAGAAAAATAAATAAACCATGGAAGAAATGTACCCATGCCCAGTTCCCCTATTTTTTTTATGTAGTTATCTTAAAGTATAATTCTCAACTGCAACTTGTCGTAGAACATTAAAACTGTTTCTAAACTATGTATCTTTCTTGCCTTTGCCACTCTCATTGCTATTAAAATCAAATCTGTAGGAGCTGAATGACTAATTCCAAAACCAAACTGTCTGTATGTGTATATTTAATATATATATATATATATAAAAGAAAACTGCTTAATTGCACTTAATGTCTTAGTTTAATGTCGTTGGTTCTTACAGAACTTGTTACCAAATACATATCATACATGATCCTCTTTCTGTTTTAAAGACTCTGGCAAGAGAAACCTTGGAGAATGCAAGGAGACAGCAGAAAAACACCCTGTATGTAGCATTTTCACAGAAGCAGATCTCTCACATTCTTAGCAACTTCAAAAGTAAGCCAGTTTCTTACACGTTACTAGGAAAACATTTTAAATCAGAAATGAAAACCTACTTTTACAGCACAGAAAAGAGCTGTATTTTGTGTAAAAATAAAACTCTGTACTCAATAAAGAAAACACACTGTTAAAATACACTCTTCAAGACTACTAAATATTTTCTCCACTAGATGGAGATCCATAGTTAAAGCAGAAGCTGCCCCTTCCTTACCTATTTCAGGGACACAATCTTGTGTGTTGCAGGGTTCTTTCTCTTCGGGTTTCAGCTGTGGGTCACACTGGGAACTGGCTGCCATGTCATCTGACAGACACCGCACCTCCCGGACCCGAAATCCTCCTTCACAGGATTTGGAACACTGAAACAATTAAGCTGAAGTTCATGAAGACAATATGAGATGTGTAAATACAGAAAGAAAAGAAAAGGGAACTTTGAAGCCAGACCCAGGCATCACTGGAGCCTTTTATCAACTTCACCACTACAGTTTGTTATTTTCTATCTATGCAGCCCATAATATACAGGTGCAATTTTGTTAAAGATTCCAAAACGGTTTTGAACACAGGAGAAACAACTGGACAAGTAAATGTGGTGACACTGCAACTGACAGCAAGCCAGGATAGTTCCCTTTCTGAATTTATTAGTTAGCTTCTTGCTTCTTTAATTAGCCTTCTCGTTCTCTGCTTATTTATACATATCTCCCAAATCTACTCTTTCCACATTTCCTACTTTAAGAACTCCCCGCACTGAACTTTACTACTTGACTGCACTGCCCTCCACTGCCCTTTTGCCATTTAATAATACTCAAGCAGGAATAATTTTAATTGCCTTTTTTTCTGGCACTCAAGTATTTTTCACCTCCTGCAACACAATTTTACTAAGCATTATAGGTTTCTTTGAAGGAGCACAGAAATACTTTCTTTTGATGTCCGAAGTCTGTTATGAAGCCAGAGATTTTTGTACTTGCTTGTCATGGTATTTTTAAAGCCAATTATTACACATTTCTGCCCATATTGAAGCAAATTCCCTGTTGACCTCAAGAATTTCGCCTGAGTGAGGTCTTTGAGATTTGGTTCACTGTCCAGTTTGACCTAATGCTCACAAACTTAATTACATCTGGGTAATTTATAATGATTAAAACCTTAACAGCCCTGAACTAGTAAGAATGTCTTCTTTCTGACTTTTTTGGCATAATTACTTCTTTTCCTAATGCTGCAGAAACAACTTATCATGATCATAACAAACTGACCAAAGTATTCTCAGTATTATATTCTTAGACTGCTCTTTCATCTTTAATACAACCTTTCAAAAGGGTAGCTCTGGGGCACTAATAGAACACCTTTTTTTCCAGCATTACTCTTGTTACATGCCTATATAGAATACTGTAATTATTCCACAGGCAGCAATAAGAGCTTCAGTTCAGGTTTGTAGAGATCTTAAGCACTTTAAGTGGAACCAAGACACCCAACAGACTGCACACAAACCCAGCCATTTGACCCCCCTGACTGAGAGGCCGTGCCATTTATTTTAGGTCATACAAAAGGTCTGAAGAGTTGAACCTGACAGCTCCCAAACCTAGAACAGGGGCTTTGGGTCAGCTCTTCTGCTCCCAGCTAACCCCTCATCCTTTCTCTTCAGCTCTAACAGTAAGAAATGCCACATACTCTGTTGATAACTGTAACAATATAGAATGGAATCATAGAATAGTTTGAGCTTTGAAGGCCACCTAATCCAGTCCCCCTGCAGTGAGCAGGGACACCTTCAACCAGAACAGCTTGCTCAGAAAGAGAACTGAAACACAAGGTGATTTTATAAGACCTCTGCTAGCAGATGTACTTCTTCCTACAGTGAAGATGGTCACAAAGGCTTAGACCTTTAAGGATTTCTAGATGCCATTTCTCAGGAAGGGATCTCTAGGGATCCCTAAATACCTCTCAGATCCTGAGGAAGTCAGCACCTTGTTCCTTGTGCCTGCAGAAAGCACATATTCTCACTTGCACAGGGACTCTGCTGCCTTCTCTGGAAGCAGACGGTTCTGTCTCTTGTGGCTACACATCCACAGGTTCACAACTGAAAATGGGTTTGCTAAGGGGAAGTTATTTAATCTAAACAGTTCCATAAACAATCCGAAGAACTTCCAGCAACACCAAAGAACCTGCTTTGATCTGCATGGCTTTATTATGAACTTGAGTTGGATGTTGCTGTCAAATAAGCACCTATACCTGCAATTAAGGGAAAAAAAACAGGATTCCCTTCAGCTGACTTAGTTTGTTAAAAACATTCTACCTCCTTCTCTTCTTTCTAGTGCTGCCAGCAGGCCAGTCAAATAATTGAGCATTTAGCAAAAAGAAAAATCAAAATAATTTCTCTCTCATGTCATGTGGATGAGATATTTCCAAAGGTTCCCGACCAAGGGAACTCAAACTAAAGGCATCTGAGTTACATCCACATTTCAGAGCTGTCATTGGGAATTTGATTTAAGGCTCAGAGAAGGGTCTAAGTTACTGCATGAGATATGATGTCATCTCATTCTAAGATGACAATGAACTTCCTCGTTTTCATGTAGGGGAAAAATGCTGATTTTTTTCTGGTAAAAATCCAATAAGCTTTATTTGGTATAGGAAATGATGGAAAGACAGATAAAACCAAAGCATTTTGTGGCACACTGGTCAGTGCAGCTGGTCCACTTTCAGGGGAAACTGAAGATACATTGAGTTCTACATTTTCTCTCAATAAAGTCCTAAGTATTACAGTGAAGAATTTACAGTAAAATATTATGGCAAAACTGACTTTAAAAACCAAATACATCCCTCATTCTTTATTAAATGCCCCTTAATTTTAATGAAATCAGAGATCTGAAAGGAACTTCTCGGTACACATTGTCTCATTATAAGGGGCAAAACAGGAAGATTCTCTGAAGAAGAGATGAGTGATGAAAAGACAACTATGCAGCGTCTCCTTCTGGTCAAGGTATTTCCTAACTTTCCTAAGCTCCACTGGATAAAGGGTTTACTTTCTTTTTAGTGTCATTCCTGTGCAAAATAAAGTCAGTGTCATGATCAGTGGCTCTCTTTCAGTATGAATGGAGAAAGCTGTATCAAACAAAATAGAGACAGAGGAAAGCAAGAGAGACTTACTGTGCTCCATTCTGTATGAAACCACTTAGATCCACACGGTTTGAGGTAGCAGGATTGCTGGATGGGAGGTTTTTCCAAATATGAACATTCATAGGGGTCCAAAACATCAAAATTACCTTCAGTTTTCCTAACACAAATGACTTCTCTCTGTTGAGTTCCACTGCCACATTCAGAAGAGCACTGTATCAGAAAACAAAAAACAAGGGGGGGAATTTGTTATTCTACTTACGTCCTTCAGCTTGCTTACAAAGTAACGTTTGTTCCTGAAATAAAATAGCACACACCCTTGCACACATGTGTACTTGCATTTTAAGTTAATATTCAAACAGTAAGATCTGGGCACCTATCTAGACACTAACATCCAAAACCCATTTCCTCACTTTCATATGTTTTTTTCTCAGAAAAAATGAGCTTCACTATATCTTTCCTTCCATCACTGGCACATGACTTGAAGAGAAAGGAAAAGGGCAAAGTGTTCCTTAAGATCCTGCAGTAAGATTTTTCTCTCTCAGAATTAGAATAGCAGCCTGGATAAACCTTGGGTTACTGTTATTATTTGTATGCAGTACTAACAAAGCAGCCACTGGTCCCAGTTAAGTACCAGTACAAGAAAAAGCTGAAGGATATAGTAGTGATTTAATTCATCAAGTGACTACTGACTGTGTCAGGTATTACATATTTAATTTTTTTTTTCATTTTAAATCTTAAAAACAGCTATAGAAATAAAAAAGATACTTCTGTGAATTTTTACTCCATGTGGTACCACAGACTCAAAACATATCTCTAATTATTTTAATGAATAAGGACTCTAAGTATATTTTTGGAGAAATGTGAAAGTGTCGTTTCACCTGTAGCTACAGAAAAGAAACTGCTATTTATTTTTCTAATCAAAAGAGAAGCATAACTCACTTTCTCCATAAACTGCTTCTCGCTGAAGCAGGATTGTATGTACTGTACTGAACTTTTGAGGGTTATAAGGTTAGAGCACAGTTTTGGAGCTTTACAAAGCTCCACATTCTGTGTTGTTCTTAGAAAGTGCCTTGATCTGCCAGGGTGTTATTTTCATGTTTGCAAGTATCTGTGTGATGTAGTGTTGGTTCCAGTTCTGAAAAGCAAATTTGACTCACTTGGATTCTTACTGTCCATTTAAAGGTTAGGTACACACACAGTACTGTTCCTGGCACTTGTAAAAAGGCTTTTAGAAGATGATTCCAGCAACATACGGGTTTCTGTGTTGCATAAAGGATTATGATTTTCAGAAGGCTTTTTCTAGCCTAAACCAATCATATGTTACCAGCAGTGGGGATTTTATTTATATTTTGGGTAGAATTTACAATCCCTTTACCAGATTCCCACAAAAACCTTGAGCTGAACAAAGAACCTTAAGATAAATGCACCCAAATAAATCCAGAAGTACAGTAACTGCACTTTGTTTAACACCAAACATCTCTGTTGCTGCTCCGTTTAGCGGTTCCTCCAGAAGACAGGCTGTGAACATCCAGCCTGAACATCCAGTGCTCCCCCTGCTCTGCTCTGCTGACTGTCTCTCTGCATTTGGGTATTTAGAAGCCAGGATTTGATGCTGTCAGATACTGCTTTCAGATGACACACAGCAAAGACTCTGTACCTTTGGTGTGCACTGAACAGTTCAATCTCAAGCAAAGAAAGAAGGCGAATCAACCTGAAAGACCAGGGAAGTTTGGATGCCTTTACTGAACACCTCTCCTGGGGCAGCAAAAATGGATCCAGAGCTCCCATTCAATCAGCTGGAGAGGTCTAAGTGACAAGCCTTGATTTCATCTGCCATTAGAACTGCAGATAAGTATTTCTGAAATGTGAATTTGTTATTGTCATACAATAAAACCGATTATCGCTTACACTCAGAAGCATTAGCATAGCAGTAGCCCTGCAATCTCCACCTCAGCTGTACCAGTTTAATTTCCAGCTCCTTATCAGCTGGAAGGGTCTCAGAATCTGCAGGGCAGTGAGTTACCAGCCCAGCTCCAGCCAGGGCTGGCACCAGCACTCTCAAGAGCTCTCCAGGCTGTGCCAGAGCCCTCAGCAAGGGACAGAAATGCCCGGGCACAAGGTGGCAGCTCCTAAAGGGCTACTGAGGTGGGGATAAAGGGAAGAATTTACCCTGAGGAAAGGGCATCAGGATACAGGCCACTAACCAAGTTTGGTTCTTTTGCTTGTTCTAGCAGAGGAACAACAGTACTGAAGAAAACTTTTGGGATTAACCATTAGTTTTTGTCTTATTTACTTGGAAATCCCATATACATATATATATATGTATATATCTCCCTGCATGCATGCATGATCACAAAGGCTTTACTTTAAAAGATGCAAATCTGTTGCTTTAGTGTTCACCTGAATATGCTAAGCAGCATTCTGTTATCTTCCATTTTATAAATACATTGGGTCAGGAGACGAAAAATAAAAAAAAAAAGTACAGAGAAGAGAAGAACAAAATCTTATTTTCATCAAAATAAAAAAAAACAACAGCAGGTGCTGAAAATTATTGAACATCAACTGAGCAAAATACAGGAAAAAATACCCAAATATTCCACAGAGATGTAGAAATACCTTATGGCACACATCGTTATTGCACAAAAATACGAGTTTTAAATTAAAATACCAGCAGAAAACCAGTAGGTACGTCAGATATAGCACTTGGCTCACCTGTGTCCAGCCCCCAGCAAACCACTCCACTTTACCAGCACAGGGTCCATTATTACAGGGGGTCGTTTCCGAGGGTCTGTTGTTGCCGCAGCCCTCCAGAGGCAAACTGCTGACGTGGTTGGTCATGCAGAGCACGGAGCGCGTGCGGATCCCGGCCCCACACTCTGCCGAGCACTGCGGGAAAACACACCCCGGTCACTGCACTGCCCCCCACACTGCACAGCATCCCCGCGAGAAGCAACAGCCACGAAAGGAAAGCAGGTTATGCAAAGTCACTTATTTTTACTTGGCATTCAGCTGTAGGAAATCGTCTCACAGTTTCACACTTTTGAAAGCACAAGCAGCACCTGTCTTTACAGTCAAAAATGAAAGGATTAGTTAAGAAAGACATCTCTTGTTTTACAGCTTTGTAATAGCTTTCTTATTTTTTCCTTCCTTCTTCCTGCCTGTAAATTCATTCAGTTTTATTTTTATTAATCTTTTTGCATCTCAGTTGATAGCTCTGAGAGCAGATAATTTCCATAAAGGGCTTTTCAGACAGCAGTCCTACTTCAGCCTTTGATTTGTTCTCTTGAGTTTCTCCTCTGACCACTTCAAGCTGTCAGCCAGGTGGATCTCACACTGCTTGAAAGGGCAAGGAAAACTCTGAGGGCTGTGGCACTGGGAGTAAAATGACTGTGTAGCACATCCTGGATGTTCCACAAGTTGACAAAATATGACAGCACAATTGAGTAGAAAAATATAAATTTTTTTGACAGGTGGTTTCAAAAGATTGAGGTAAATCCTCAGCAATTAACTGTTAACTACCAGTAGTTTTTGTCTAACCTGTTTCAATTGTAAATTGTTAATTAGTCTTAGAAGAGGTAGCCATAGAATTTTAGGTACATTCAATATTGCTTTTTAATGCTATGACTTCCCAGCAACTAACATTTACCATTCTCAAAGTTCCACTGCTAAATTCTGAAAGCTCTTACTAAATAGTGATATGCAGAGTCTCATGTCACATATTCAGAGACTGTATGCATGTCATCCATAAATCATACAGGATAAATTCCATTTTTGCCCTTGGAGTTTGCTCTTTTATCTACTGTAGCAGGAAATCTCTGATATTCCACTGTTCTAGGCAGCATCAAACTACTGACATCTAAAAACCAGAAATATGTCAAGGAAGTAAGAAATTCCTGTGTTAGACTGTTCTTTTGTTGCTTAATTCTTTCTTACTCTTCCCTTTCGTGTCTGGACCATTAATACAAAGAAAAACCTATGTGCAGCTCACTGAAAGATATGTATATAATGGAATTTAAACACAGCAGTTCTATCACACATGCAAAGAAAACCACGAGTAAATATGCAATCTATGGGAGAAAAGGATGCACTTGATTGCTATTTCAGATTTTATGTTTAACATACCATGAAATTAGGAGAAACTGTGTTTTTCTTCCACAATGAACACCACATTCCTTGTGGATGAATATAACTCTGCATTGGAGCACTTTTTAAACTTTATTAAATAAGAATGATTCAAAAAGCTGGTAATCAGACACAGAGTTGACCACAGCTTGATTTGGCTGCCACTGGTAATAGTGTCAGGGTTCACTTCCAGGAGTTCAACTACAGGACAGCAGATGCCATGAGAGCACCACTGTTAATAACAAGGTGAACAGATACAGTCACTCAGCTTCTCCAGAGGGACCAGTGACTGAAAGTACAATCGGCTGTAAACTGCTCTTTATTCACTGAGCAACACTGGTAACCTGTGTGAAACATCTAGTCATGTTACATTTATCTCACAGACACAGAATAGAAAAATGTTTTTCCTATCAGCAAGTTGATTCCTTTCACAAGATGTTCAAACAGGATAGCAAAGCTTTACTGAAATGGAATGCCTACAAAACTAACAAGTGATTCAACTCTGTAAAGCAAATTTTTTAAGAAACAAAGTACAGTTTTGGAAAAACTAGAAATTCAGGTTTCTTCCTTCATCTGCAAGATCAAGTAATTAAGCTTTGCCTAAATGATGGCTATAAGTAACATAATGAACCTTTTTTATTGGTGATTCTGTGAAAATAGTCCACTTTCACCCAGATATGTAAAACAGACCTACCTCCTCAGCAAACCAGATTTCATGGCTAAGGAGGCCTTTTCAAAGTGAAGTGGCAAAATCTTGAAAACACAAGAGTGATGTAAATGTGCCAGTAGTGACCACTTTCCTGCTTATATAAACTGAGACTACACTGCACCCATGTCCAACAGCCCTCTCTCAGGTAACGTGGCCTTGCTGAGCCCCACTCGATGGCCACCACTCAAACCACTGTGCAGAAACACATCTTGTGGCTGCTCACCTTTCGTCCTTGGCAAGTATATTCAATCACATTAAGCACAGAGAACCAGATATATACTCTGTAAATACTTTTCTTATTTCTAACTAATTTTCATTTGACAACATAATTTGCTTTTCTGCTTTGCAAACCAGAGCTGGGAACAAGTTTAGCCTATACAGTCATCCAGAAAACCTCCACAGTCTTACCTTTTAAGTGATTATGTAGGAACTAGGTAGGCTTGCATATCAAATAACAAAGGAAATACCAAATGGGAAGGTATAGGGTTGTCCTACCCTCTGCTGCAATATTTTACTACAGATTAACTGCCCTCTAAGAATTTACAAAGCAAACTTCAACCTGAGTGTTTCATGTTACGTATTTATTTTTTTATGTTTTTTTTTCTTCTTTTCAGTAAAAATCTTCTGTGTGAAAGCCATGGATTTCCAAAGTGCAAGGCAGGGAGTAGGGAGAGTTTGGATAATGAATCCTCCCCTTTGGTTTTCACAACTGACACACCCACTACTTTCAATTTGGTGCCATTGATTTGTTGCATTAATACATAGCAACTGCCATAACCTAACATTGTGAAATGTGAGGAACTTTCACAAGCTGCAACTTTATTCTGGTCCTATTATTAAAGATATTTTGTTTCACAGTCTTGTTTTAATTGGCACAAATTCCTCAGAAACCTCTGTCTGTGTTTTAAGGAGTCTGCCATTTTTCCTCTTCCTGAGGTCCTTCCCTCCTGAGTTCAATTTCAGAAGCTTTCCATACCCATTAAAAACTAAAAATAAAACCCCCTCATTCAGGGCTCTGATAGTTGTCAGAAAACAACTGAACAGCAGTCCAGGAAAATAAGGCTAGTTCCTGCAAACTTGGAAAACTGCAAGTGGAAGCCTGGATTTTTGTCAGAGCTACAAGACATGGGTATAGCAAAAAAATCCTCTTAAACAGTGCCAGTTGCCCATCACCAACGTGCCAGCCCCACTCATTACCCTCAAATGGGGCAACAGACCACAGGAGAGTGGCAGCAGGAATTCTCCTGGACCTCCAGAGCCCTTTCACTCAGGTCTCAGCATCACTGCTGGCATTAATTAAATTTTTAAATAACAACCAATTGAGTTTGAGTAAAACATTCCCATTTGTGTAGGATTTCTATGTACCACACTTTAACCTTCACCATCTTAATTATTTCCCACAAGACAGTAAAGATTTTTATCAGTCATCCTCCTGATGTTACACTGCTGCAAAAAATAAAAATGAAGATCTACGTTTCCAATACATTTATGAAACTCCTTAGCATTATTTGACCTACTCTGAGAAAACACATTTCAGGAGGGATTTTGGACAGATTATGTAACCTTTGTTTTCCCAATAATTAACTCAGACTTGTGTTTCAGAAGCTCACTTCTGGCCACAGTTCCAAGACTGGGGCAGATTTTCAAAGGATGTAAAACCACTGAGAGCTGCCTTGATTTCTTAAAAAACGAAAAAGAAAGGGGTGTGTTGTAGCAAGAAATATCCTCATGTATTGCCAGAGCATTTTCTGATGCCGAGATTTGAACTGTTCCCCTTCAGAGTGCATCTATGCAACACAGTAGGTGCTGGATCGGTCTCACACTTCCATGGCAGCCTTCCAAGGGAACAAACATTCTGAAATACAGTCTTAGTCTTTCAGCTGGATCATGATTGCTTTTACATACACAGTTACTTTATATGCAGTAGGTTACACCGTTGGTACTCACACAATACTGATGCTCTCAGGAGTAGTTAATGTGAGGGAACAGAACAGACTTCCTCGCTACTCTGGCTCATATAATAAATATTACTTGCCTTGAGAGCTGTAAGGACTTCTCAGGGCTTGAGTGCACCAGAGCAGCCTCTCCTGGGGCCTCCACCCACCCCCTGCTCATGGCCTGGGGTCTCCATTTAACCTCAGCTCTGGCCCATGCTCAGAGATGTGCCTTTTCCCAGCCACAGCCTGGGGTTCAGTGATCCCTCACCCTTGGACTCCCTTCCCAGCCCGACCCTGGCACTGCCCCATTCCCACAGACCTGCCCCAGGATCCCTGGGCTGTGTCTGACCCTGGTGACTGTCACTGCACTGACTTCCAGCTTCCCCTTGGCCCTTCCTCATCCCTGTGACGGTGCCTGATAACCCGGCCCCTGGTTTGGCCCTGCCTGCCACTCGTGAGCCCGTCCTGCCAACCTCCCCTGCCCTGCCAACCTCCCCTGTCCTGCCAACCTCCCCTGCCCTGCCAACCTCCCCCGTCCTGCCAACCTCCCCTGCCCTGCCAACCTCCCCTGTCCTGCCAACCTCCCCTGCCCTGCCAACCTCCCGGGGACACAGGGAAGGCTCCTCCTGCCCTGCAGGCTTGATCTGCTGATCTTCATGTGGAGCAGCTGAACTGTGGCACAGCCAGATCAGCTCTAGAGAAGGAAACACAAATCTCTGCAGGTCTTGGCCCCCCTTCTATCACAACTCTCCTGGCTGTGTTTCATCGCAAGTTACGAAGTGTGTTACATATTCATACATAAAGAATGCAACCCTTCTATTTCCATATGATTTCCACATGAAATCAATGAAAAGGGCTATTTTATCTTGTTTTGATTTTATACTGAAAACAAATAAACAGTGGTAATAAAAAATAATGAACTCTTGCACAAGCTCCATGGTAATTTTTTCCCCTGTTTTTTTTTTCTTTTTTTCCCCCCAGGATTCAGGAGATTTTAAGTGAACTACCCAGAATTAAATAAAAAATAGTGAAAGAAGAGTGTAAGGTACAGTATTCATTGGTGGTTCCTCATCTGACTCTTCAGTAAACCCACTCAAACCTGTTAGGCAATGTTTTAGAATTGTGAGGAATAAAGCACTGATTTTTATGAAGTTCTCTTTTCACTACAGTTCTCTTATGGCAGATTATTACAGAAGCATTGCCATTACTCCTTTTAATGAAGAGTGAAATCCAGAGCATGTGTTTGGTTTGTTTTGATTATGTTCCCTGATGTGCAGCATTTTTTCTTTCTTCCCAAGGTTTTATTTTGGCCGCAGAATCTCATTAACATCTAAGAATTGTTTGTATTTTGGCTTCTTTTCTAAGTAGGCTGTAAACATAAAACGAGAAACAAATGAACAGAGGAGATGGCAATGAGGAATAAACAAAAATGCGAGAGGGGAATGCTCCAGTTGGAAGCTGCAAGGAAACATTGGTGAGCCTCCCATTGCTGTAAATCAGGAGAATGCAGTTTCCCACTTCTGACCCACAGGAGAAGTAAACTTTCCAGCAATTAGAGCTGTCAAAGAATCAGTCATGTGAAATGTTTGCAAGAATCTCATCTGCTCCCATCAATCCCATTCTGTTGCTGAGTTCAGTAAGGTTCACCAGATTTACTCTCCTGATTAATGGATGCTGGTTGGTGGAGCTGTGCTGTTTTAATGCAGTGTGACATCTTTAGAGAATTAGCAGACAGGAAGCCATCTTTCTAAAAATGCACATAAAAATATCACAAAAGTTTGTCCAGACCCTCTATAGGCAAAAGAGGTTAAAGATCATGCAGAAGTCAAAGCCACGAAACTTAAGTTAATTCTCTTATTTACACTCAAGGTAGAGCAATAAATATAAAGACACAGACAAATAAGATTGGTCTCACTTTGCTACTACAGACTTTTAACCTGCAATCTTTCCCATTGAAATGGGTAAAAATTTCTATTTCTCTCAAGATTGAGCCTGGGGGATATCAACACATGGTCACAAACAAATGACAGAGTACATACTTTTCAGAAAAGAAGTGTTTGTTTCCTATGGATGAATTGCTTTCCCTCCTTCCTTTACATGTTTCACCAGTGTGGCCACACATGTCATAAGCTTTGCAGGTAAAAGAGTGTGTGTGTGTAATACACACACAATGGACTTTGATACCTGTTTGTCAAAATAACACAGATCAAGAACTGCATTGTTTCAGGAACATGCAGGGATTTTTAATTTCATATATAAAGAATCACTGTGTGCAGAAACTGAATCCAAGAAGGTCGATGCCACGGGGGGAAACAGGTGGCCATAAAATACATAAATACATTGTGGGAAAACAGGAGTGGAGAACATGGCAAGAAGGCAGCCAAGTGTTATTTACAGAGCAAAGCCACAAACAGACCACCCTGGGAAGGAAACACAACTCTTACACACAAATCTGCATGTGCTCTGCAGGGTTTTAAGTGCACATATGTTATATTGCCAAAGTTACATTTAGGGAAATTTAATGACATCATCTTCCAATTCAGAACCACAGAAACTATCAATGAAAATAAAGGTAACTAGCATGATTTTTTTCATCAATTAAAACTTTGCAAGGTTTCAGTAAAATAAGAAAACCCAAAATCTTTCCAGCATCCCTAAATTAGATCTCGCTCTATTTTTAAAACACTGTTAAAGAACACCCTTGTCAAATTCTGCACACATGTACCACAGTTATCAAATCCTGAAATTTAACATCTGTTGGCAGCAAAGACAACTGTAATTTTTCTGTTACTGTGATTTTTCTTGATGTTTCACTAATTAACCAAGGCTGTATTGTAATGCCCCATGTACCACATAAATCCGGACACGGAGGTTTGATACATCCCTTGCTGAAAGGGAAAGGACGTGTTTAACTGATCTCCGACAGCCCTCTGGAAATCTCTGCTTGCTGCATGTGCAACAGTACACATTAAGTGTTTGCAAAGTGGGTTCAGGAAAGTACAGACCAGGCCTCCTCTTAGGGCTGTAACCAAGTTTGAACTCAACCATTTCAAAGTTCCAACGTTCTCAAAAGTTAGGATAAGTTCTTTTACTTCTTATTTCCAGCCACGGCTGAAATGTCAAAATACAATGGGAAAGACTGTTCTGTGGTATTTCCAGCTGGGACTTGAAGTAGGCATGTAATAAATCTCACAAAGAAGGTCTGTTCTTGTGAGATTTCCACCACAGTTTTGCAGACTCAAGAGGTTTGAACAAGCTTTTTTAAAGCATTTGAACTTTTGGCTGCTTATCTGAACCATTTGTGGCTGCCCATCGCTGATCTGTGCTTATTGCTGGAGTGTGGCTTGGCTTAAAGCACTTCTTGAAGAATTGTTTGGGGAAATTACACACGCAAAGTCCATACACCTGGGAATGCCCACTTCCACTCCATGGCAGGATTCTCCTCTTGTCTTTCAATAGGAACACACTCCTCTACAAAGAAAGAGAGACTTCTGACCCCCCAAAACAGCCCTTTTGTGGCGAAATAAGAAAGCTAATGCCAAAGGCCTGACTTTGCAAAGCTACTGACTACTCCTTTATTCCACTGACTCCCACTGCAATCACTGCCACTGGGCTCCTCTGAACACCCCAGTTATGAGGTATGTGTGAATCTTAGAAGATCATGCATATCCCAGCTCAAATCTACGTTTTTTTCCTGAAATAAGCTGTTCCTTACATCCTCTTTGTGAATCCAAACCCACTGCTGGCAGAAGTGGTGGTGAACAATGCCAACTACAGTAGCAAGCATTTGGAAGAAATGAATCTGTACACTTATATAAACTGAGAAGGTAACAAAATCCATTCTTTGCTCTCTGGCCCTAAAATGTTTGTGGTAAGAAAAAAAACTCCAACATTTTCCACATTACCTGCTTCACTTCTATTCAACACATATAAATAAGCATAATAACATTCTACAGTTATGACCTTCAGGTCAAAAGCTGCTTTTAATTCTGCAGAGGGCAGAATATTAGTGTAGAAAAATGAAGCAAATGGTGCTAGAACCTTCACTGGAATGACTGTGCTTTGTGTGGTGGAACCAGTAGCTGATAGCAGCTGGGTCAGCTTTTTCAAGAAAGATGTCTTTGAGGGTAGAATGCATTTTTCTCTCTTACTTGTAAAATATCACTCAAAAAAAAAAGGCACTGCCATTTCCCCTACAGCAAAATCTTTGCCCTTTGCACTAATACACCTATACTTCACCTGGTAACTTTCTGTCCATACTATGCCAGAGTGTACACTGGAAAAAAAGTGACAACAGCACAGATTTATTAGTCTATATTTCTGGTTTTTTTATAAACTCTAGTTGAGTTGTCTAGAGGCTGAAAATTTTGCAGGCCTTTAATTGTAACAAGAGTCTATCAGCCTTTTTAATTATGTGATTTAATTATCAGCTACCTGTTCTACTTTTGAAGTTCCCGTTCCACCTCTGCATTTAAACCATGTGCAAAATCTTCTGAGTGTCCAAACTAATGCTCAGCCCATGAGCCCGACATTCCCAGCTTTCAGAGGTACTGCTGCAAAATGATCTAAACCATGAAATCTTTAAGTTATGGATGGAATCTTACAGCTCCAGTGAGAAATTACAATATTTGTCGGTCAAAAAAAAGGGAGATGCAACCAGGAGTTTACAGACTGAAGGCTCAACTTGTTTCCAGATGAAGTGGATAGGCAGGCATCCACGAGAGAGACCAAAATACCCAGCTTTTCCTAGCCCATGTTTGTGAGCCTTTTAATGACAGCATAGAAATATCACCACTGAACAACTCTGAGCCCAATCACAAAACAAGGTCAATCACCACTGGGTTTGTTGCTTTCATGCAGAGACTCATTGGAATAAAGAACCCCCCATGTTCACGAAGTACAGGAGCCTGAATTAAGCTTGCCTGAGTTTAGGAAGTTGTTCCCCTCTTTTCACAGCTAGAAGATAATTGTTTTATGGCTTGAACTTAAACCCAGACATCAGGCCTCAAATCTGCATCCTCTAAAAAAAACAGTGAATGAGTTTGAATTTTAAGAGTTTGAATCTTGAGTCTCAGGCCTAAGCAAGGCAGAATAATAAATCTCAGCACACTCAATATTTTGGGAAGTTCAGACTCAGAGCCAATTCTAAATCCAGATGTTTGGCCACATACCCACATGCCCTTTCTGTACATTCTTGTATCTTAACACAAACTCGAGATGCCCTTGGGATCATTATGTTTTTGTTTGCTTTTGCGGGTTCAACAGATAAATATGGAAAATAAGATTACTCCTTTTATGGCTGTACAGATATACATTTTTTAATTCTGATGCCCCTAAGTTTTAGAAGATTTGGCAGCACAAGATGAAGAGAAGCCTTACCCTGTCACTCCAGTCTGTGAGGAACCAGCTCTTGGCACAGGGGCCCATGTCACAGTTCTCAATGTCATTTGGCCGCAGCTTCATGTTACACTCCTCGTCATCAACAACGTCCCCAAGGTTGCTGACACACTTCACATCCCGGGTCCTCTGCCCCACTCCACAAGGCACTGAACACTGCAACAAAAGGGAGGTGCCTCAGGACTCTGAGCAGTGGCTTATCAGGGAGCTGGGAACATCCAGCTCATTCATTCCTGCTAAGGCAGGAGATACAGAGCTATTCAAGATTGCCAGGAGTAGGGAATAAAAACACATCAGTCGTATTAAATCATATGCTCAGTCTGTGGTATTCTACAGTGTATCACGCTGATACATTTGGAAAACACGAAACTCCATCTTCAACAGGTCATACTGCACTTATCAAAATGAAATGCTGGTATTTAAGTAGCAGGCTGACATACTCTGCATCATTTTGATCTTGACCTATAAAAGCAGATACGAAGCAAGAGAAATGCAAAGAAACACAACTCCTGAATCCCACTTCCAAGCAGAGGCCTTCTCCTCCTGCTTTCTCCAGCCTCAGAGAACATTGACAGCTCTGGGTATCTCTGCCTGATACCTGATATCTCTGGGTATCTGATGCCTGATGCACAGGCTGGGGGAAGTAGGAGCAAGGAAGCACTTCAGGAGAGAGAAAAAAGTAGGTTTAGTTTGAGGGTTTAAGCTAGAATTTTTCGTGGTCTATCCACCTCCGTAATTCAGCAACTAAAAGTTCTTTGCTTTGTTTCATGGAATACTGAGAGATTTGTGTATCACTTCACTTAATACAGCAGGATATTTTCTCTTTCACACCATGGCCATGAAAGTAATTGGGATGGTTGTCAGCTTGACCAAACCTGTTGTAAGCAACACCGAAAAGTTAAATCTCAAAACTGTATCATCCACATTTATCTAAAAGCCTTGGCATGGCTTCAAACCAACTACAGTAACAACGACTACTGCCTTTATCCTAAATACATATGTGATGTTAAATAACTCCTGGAGCTAAGCTCTGCATGCTGTGAGAAAGAGCAATAGGTTTGCCACCTCATGCAAACCTCTCAGGACTGTCCTACTCACACAGCATGTAAAAAAAACATTGCTCAGACAGCTTGTGTATGTCTGTGCAGACACATCTGCATGGTTTGTGTTTTTTCATCTTCTTTCTGGTGAGGAAACTTTAATGGTCATAGTGAAGCAGGGGTTTACTGAACTAAGATTTACTTATTTCCAAGGCCTTCAAAACATTCCACTTCCCCGTTTTAAACAAAACCAAAATTCACGTTTGATTAGTGACACCCGGAAGAAAATTCTTACTCTTCTCTGAGGTTTTACACCCTGAATGAGTCAATCATACTTACTGAGGTCCACTCTGTCCTGATCTGCCACTCACTGCAGATCTTCAGCTGGCAGGTGCTGGTGGTCTCAGGCTTCTCCAGGTGGTGGCACCGGTACTGCTGCACCGTCAGGGTGCGGTTGGCGTAGATTTGCCGGCACAAGATCTGGCGGTGCTGCATCCCCAGGCCGCAGGTTTTGCTGCACTCAGACCACTCCCCTATGTCCCAGCTGAAGCGAAAAACAAAAAAGGGGACATCTTTTTTTCAGCAAAGAATTCTCTAATACTGAATCTTAACAGAACTTGAATGACATGATTCTGATGCTGGTACAGAATCCTATAAAATGGCACTTAAACTGCTGCAAAACAACCTCTTATGAGACAACATTATATACTTGTATACACAATCCACCTGCAGTGGTTCATAATAACAGCCATGAAGACAAGATGGCCCAATTTATGGTCTCAAGACATATTACAAACATTACTTAAGGTTCTAATAGCTGTTTGGTTTTTTAAACATTCTACCTATAATATATATTACTGCTCGAATGACACTTCCCAAAAGTTTAAGATGTACAATGTAAAGGTTTTCTGCAGCAAAGACACTAAAAAATGGCAGTAACACAAAAATTATGTAATGCATCCAGGCATTCATTCATCAGCAAAACTGAAATAGCAAATGATAAGCAATGAATAAATACAATTCATTTTAGAGATGAAAAAATCCCTAGATATATTCTTCTCATTTCAAGATTTCATTGTATTTATTTTGTCACCTTTGTACAAATACGTCATTTTCCCCTTTCAGTTTTCATTTCAAGCATGAAGACAGACACAAATAAGGGAAGTATCTGAATTGCTCACATATTTTATTTCAGAACTCTTGTGGAGAATAAGCAAAATAATTGTATTTAAATATTTAAATTTCTTTGCTTATATTCTTGACATTATCCTGAATTAATATGAGTTGTTAGAAGGAAAGAGGTGAGAAAAATGCTTTTGGTAAGAGAAGACATCTCCATGTAAATGGCTTCAGAAATTCCTGAGTATCTAATACACACCAGGAAATTGCTTTCAGACATCTCTGACACTGTAACAGCACTTACACCACTGGAAATCTCCATGGGATAAGGAGTGGCCACTTGCTGCTCAGAAGAGAACTGAGGAGTGTAACCACCAGAGAGATGGAAAATTGACAACATTGCTAAAATGGCAACTGGGTTTAACCCTTTTCCTGGTATGCTCCCTGAATGAATTGTCCTTTTGGGTGGGGGGTGATATTTTTATTTTTCATTATTGACTATTTAAAACCTGTTGCTTAGCCAATTGCAATGCACAGTGTCATTTCAGAAGGAAATCACTGCTGAGCTGGACTAGTGTGCTGGAAACGAGGACCAGCACTTCAGAATCCAGTCTTGGAGCTGAAGAACTACCCAATTCAAAGAGAGGGGGTATTTACCAGGGAGCTGCTGTGAGCACTATCTCATCTTTAAATACGACACCAAGGAAAGAAAAGGTGGCCACTGCAGCACCTGGATCTAATGTGGAGTGACAGAACTCACAGAGCCTCTTCTTTAGACAGGTATGTGCAGAAACCTCTCACTTGAAAAAAGATGTACCCGCAGAGACCAGGTAGCCTGTGCCTGCCTGAACAATCACACACATTTGGAGGAACTGCTGCACTTACTTTTGCCAACTTCCCTCTTGCCTACTCCGAACACTGTTCTCCCCGTGAAGGGGAAGAAGGCCAACAACAACTAAGGAAAAAAATCCACTACACTTTATGACACAAGGGCACAGTACTTAGAAGATCAAACTAGTTTCCTGCTCAGAACAGCCTCTTTCACAGACAAAACCTCAATGGCATTGCCTTATTTCACTTGACATAAATTGTAATATCTTACAAAGCTGGACACGGGAAGAGGTTGCAGGCCTCCTCTTCTGGGATGGGTTTGGTACTGCTGTCACAGTAACCCTCGGGGACCTCCTCGTGAGTGATTCTGTTGACACAGTGGAAAATTGGGTACTGTGATCCTGAAATGGAGAAGAAAATTAGGTGAAGGATTGCAAAAGACTCTGCAGTTCTAACAGTAGCATCCAACACTGACGTAGAAAGGAAAAGCATAACTTGACAACAGGAAACACAGACTTTATCCCAAATTTCCAAATGTAAGAGCTGAATGCTGTACTGTTTACATTGTCATACTATGGGAAGTATTTGGTATATAGAAAGTATAGCACAGCACTGTAGGAAAGGTTGAGAAAACATGTCCCTGGGTCTGCATGAGACCTTTACAGTGCAGAGAGTACAAACATTAAGTATTTAGGCAATTCAAAAAACATGTAGCTAAGAGGCCACAATACAGGCTTGGCAGGAGGAAAAAACTAGCAGTTATTCTGTTGTGCTTTTGGAAAGAGACTGAGCCTCCTGACTTCAGAGTTACGTGGAGAGTAAATACAGGAGAACATCATCCACTTTATCTGGATTTTGCAAAGATCCATCAGGCAAAGTTTACAGGTTAAACATCACCAAAAATGACTACTCTCCATATTTAATGCTCAGTCTTTAAGTAACTTTCATGCCAGAGCCGAAAGACAGAACTCTACTATTACTACAAAGAGCCAACATGTGAGCTTGTATTTGGTAAACAAAAAGTTAAAGTACATAAACTCAGCCAAGGAGAAGTGGTCAAGGTACAACCAACAACTGCCAGTTCAACCGCTTGAAGCCAAACCACTGACTTAAAAATTGGGTGATTTTAGTTGTTTTGGGCTATTCTACAGCAAATAACTCTGAATGACTATTTATTGGTATTGGAGCCTGATTAGTGCAGAAACTCAGGATTAGGCTGAGAAAGAAACCACAAACAGGAAAATTAACTTTGAACTGAAAATACAAGATTTTGCTTAGGTTAGACCTAACTTTCTTGCACAGAACGAAATAAACACCAGTGGAATGCTGTTCAACCAGACAAGCAGATACGCAGTTTCCACTTCTTCCCACAAACTTCCTGGAATGCTTTCCTCCCTTTCCTGGAATGCTTTCCTTTGCAGATTTCATATTTGTCATTTTGCCTTTGAACCCTCCCACGAGCCATCTCTTTTCTGTGCACGGTGTCCAAAGCACTCACCTTTCCCACAGGTAGTAGTGCACTCAGTTTTTCCAACCTGTTTCCAGTTGTGTTCTCGGTTTTGCCTTGGCTGTTGCATAGCAGGCACCTGGTTTTCTGGCTGATGAGAAGGAAATCTTCCTGGCTGAATAACTGGAAAAGTTCCAGCTGACTGTCCAGTGAGAATGTCTGTCTCTCTGTGCAAATCCTCATCCTCATGACTTGTACCTTCTGGCATTCCCAACTGACCATTCAACGGCTCCCCTGATGATGGACACACAACAGAAAAGTAAAATGAGAATGAGCCTCACATGCAAACATCAGTCTATGCTCTGATCCACTAAAAATCAGAACTGGAGTTTCATTAAATTTAGAAGCAGTTTTAATCTGCTATGTAGAGAATTCCTAATAGTGACCTGCAAAGACTGTGCTGTTTTAAACTAAGATAACCAAGTCTCAGTCTGCAAATACATTAAGACTCTCCAAACACACTGTAGAGTTAATGCACCCAGTGTGTCAAAATTTCCCAAAAGCTTTTTTGTTTTGTACCATGCTCTGCATCCTGTGCCTCCCCATGGCCCAGTCCAGCTGCTCCTCTTTACAAACAGGCTGCAAACAGACTTAGAAATTTGTCAAGGCAAGTCACGACCATCAAAAACGAGGACCAAATTCACTTGCAAATGTTCTGCTGTCCTTCAGGACTTCCTAGAGCACACACAGCACACATCCACAGCTCAGGCAGGAGCATGGGCTGCCCAGATTCTGCCTTGGGACAGAAACACTGTTCTGTTTGATCCTCTCCAGTTGGGGGAGGAAAAAGAAACTGTGAAGGGTTGTTTCAAATTATCTCACACTCTGAAAACTCATGTTTTATTTCATTTCTGAGAGAAGGTTACAACACTCCAGTTCATGCAAACCCATGAGCTGGATAAAATTTTGATAACAGAACTGTTACTGAATGTAGAAATCTGTGAGCAGATTCCCACCTAAAGTATAAATAATCCCTGCCTGTATTAATTCACTGAAGTTACTAAATCTATGCTGACATCTCATTCAACATGTAGGGTGAAATTCTGGGCCCCTCCCACATCAATGGCAGCATTTACACTGAATTTAATGGTATGAATTTCTCCATTAGTTTATTGGGTAACAAACTGTGTTAAATAATAGGAAATGGTGGCATTTTACCTGGCCTCCTGTGAGCAAGCAGCTGAGGACTAATGACATTGTCTCCTGGAATGATATACTCATAATGGATACCTGGGTTAGGCTGCTGATGTATCATCTAAAAAGAAAAACAGCCATATATTGAGTCCTCCCATTTGTTATTACTACTTAAATATCAACTTGAACTGCTCAGCTACATAACATCATTTTTCATTGGTCGTGTTAGAAGCAGTGACTAATGACTGCCTCCAGAAAATACAACAAGAAGGAAACACAAGTTACTGTGTGTTTGTAAAGAAGAAAATACAAGTTACTATTTGCAAGGAAGAAAATACAAGTTACTGTGTTTGCAAACTGAGCCAGCTTATGATGGCACAAAAACTATTTGTCTAAATCTTCTTTGAAAAATGTCAGACTGCCATGCTTGAGGGCAAGGTGGGCAGTGGCTGCACCAGCCATGGCTGTGCCTCTCAGCAGTGTGAGCAGCAGAGGTTCACACCAGGCCTCAGCAGCAGAAGAGACGGTCCTGAGGCCAACAAAACATTCTCAGAGAGCAGGAGCTTGACAGATGCCTGAGGAAATGAAAGCAAGGGAGGAACAAAGCAGAGAAAAACAAATACCACAACCCTCAATCGACACATTTGGCCTTCTACCTTTTAAAGGTTCACCTGTGAACTTGAACAGAGCACATGCACAGAGCACACACGTGTTATTCTGCGTGTGCACCTCCCAAATCCAAGTGTTCCTTCCCACACCACACAGATACCTTGGCACCACTCCCTGGAGCCTCAGCAATCACCCAGCTAAAACTACTGACATTGTGCTGCCCTGGCCATGAGCTCTGCTCCTCAAAGGTGGAGGGAACACATTCCAAAGGCCCACGTTCCTGTCACAGCAGCTGAAGAGTGCCTGTGCAACCCTCCTGCATCCTTCCACGCTCATTTGCAGCTCAGTGAAGGTGTAATCAAAGTGCAGCCAGACTCCCACTGCTTTACAGCAAGCCACAACTCTATCAAAGTGCTCATTATGAAACACAGGCAGGATCTATAAGGTAAATGTGAGAGTGAAGCTGAGTGTTTTCAGAGCACTGCTACACAGGCCCATGTGAGCTGACACCAGGCAGGCTCTGACAGTCACTGTTACTTTGGGATGCTTGTTTAAGCAGAGGCAGAATGGGACCTGAGCAAGCTTTGACTTTATAACAGCTTTTTAAAGCTGTCAGTAGCACACTCCATACCCAACTGGCTTCTGTCATGTTGTTGCTGTGAGCCTGAGCATTCTCACACTAGGAATGCAGGGGTATCATAAGCTGCTAATTTCACTACTTTTGCTTTGATTACTTCAGTACTGCTTCTAATGATACTTATGCTTTAGTCCTGAACTCTCAGTGGGGATTAGTCTGGTAGAAGCCTCAGATTACACTCCAAGTACCTTTTTTGAAAAACAAACAAACCAACCCAAAAAGCCTCCAAGCAAACAGCAGAGCTTGCACTAGCTCCTTGGTTCTGACAATCCATGGACCTAAAAGAAAAAAGTCATGCTATGCTAATGGCCTAATGACCCAGCAGAGCACAATTAACGCTTCAAGGCTTCACTAAGTTCGTCACATCAATTAATACCAAGTAGGGATTCAGACCTTTGTTTTTCCTTGTGTCAGAATCACTTTTTCCTTGCCAAGTATAATAGCTGTTCCTCTAAAACCTGTCCCTCAGAGATCACTCACTTTTCTGAACCATCTAATAATGCACTGCCTGTAGTATTTTTTTGTAAGGGTTGGTCCTTCCAATGTCACTTTGTTATCCAAAAAATACACCCTCTTTGTGTTTGGTCCTGAGAGAACCAAGAACTGTGAGCTGACTTCAGCAGAAGAGTACGTTGCCCCTTCCAGAACCAGGACTCTGCTCTTTAGATGGTTCCAGGAGCAGCTTTCCAGTTGTTCATATGGTTTTAGCATCACATTTCTCAAAACAACTGACAGACATGTTATAAAGAGTTTAACTGTTGAAGTCCCTAATTAGTATATTGTCCCAGCTTTCCTGCAGGAAAATTCCTGCAATGATAGAATAGTTTGCTCTGAGTTAGTGGACCTAAGTCTTTGTAGCAACATTTACTTCACACTTGGACAGAACTTGCATCTCTTTATCTTGCTGTTATAACCTCCTGTAAATCAGAGAGCTTTTCCCTCTCCATTTTCAGAGTGCAAGAAAGACAGCATGATCTCAGGCAAACAGGACAGAAAGCCATTTGGAGTTCCCATCTGCAAATCTCTTCATTCTGCTACACAGAGCATAAAGATCATGAGTATGGATGAAAAGAGAATTGCATGATTCAGGCAAGACAAAGTCTGAAGAAAGACATCTGTATCTGCATGGCTACACATTTCAAAGCCATAAGAGAGGCTGTGTCACGCTGATGATTGATTTTCTTTCATCTAGCACTATCCAGCTTTATCTTCCCACACTACATTAAAAAAGACAGTGAACTATCGTCTTATAATGAATTGTAGTATTCCTCATATGAACAAGAAACATCTCAGATAAGAGTCCAGCCAAATGAGATGTGGCAATCCACACCAGCAGCCACAGAGCAAACTGATAAAGCTGTGCCCATCATGTCAGCTACTAAGAGTCACTGCAAAAGTAAAAAAAAAAAGAAAAGAAAGAGACTAAGCCTAAACTAAAACATTACACTATCATAAATTTAAACTTCAGGCTTTTTTATGGTATTACTTTGGAAATATCTGTTTAATCCATTTCCTGACCCTTTTCTCTCTGGGTCATTACATATTAGGCATCAATCAGCTGACAATAAAAACTTACAGCCAAGCCTCAGCTCACAAACCCTGTAACTGCACAATGACACATGGATTTTAAAAACATAAGAGTCTGCATTGCAGAACTAGCCCAATCACTTACTTTTCCAGGCTTTTGACAGTTGTACACTGCCATCAATGGGAAAAAAAGTTTGGATCAGTTGGACCAGATGATCTTAGAGGTCTTTTCCAACCTTAATGATTCTAATGTTAGCATAATTATGACACTGCTTTATTAAGGCACCATATAGCAGATGGGGAATAACTCTGCCAACATTTAACTTTTCCCAGCTTGGTAATCAGGGCAGTTACTATTAATTCTTCTATGAAATGACCCAGCACACTCAATTTTCCACCCATATTGCACTCAAGGACAAAAAAGCCAGAGCTGGATGAAACAATCATATAATCAGCTGAACTGGTTTTTTTCAATAAATTGATTTACTATGTGGGAGTGTATGATCTAAGAACACACCATTTATCTTTGAATAAGTTGTAATCAATTCCAGTTATATTTTTTACTTCAGTATGATGAACTAAAAACCTGACCCATCTGAAGTACAAAGCTTTTTCAATATGATCTCTCCCTCTTGGACACAATTTGTCTTTTTCTCTTCCTTTCTCAAATAGCTCTTATCTATAGTCTCCTAGCACAGCTTCATTTTAAATCTGCCCTGCTTCAAATCTTACATTCTATAGGTTTTCTGCATTGTTTCTTTTAAAGGAAACTGAGATGGTACCCCTCTGTGAGAGGCCTTGTCTGGCTTAGGTATTTGCTTGTTCACCATAAAATTAAACTATTCGCTCCAATTAAACAATTTTGCTTCAATAGAAAAGTATCCAGAGAAAATCCAGTTCACAAAAAAAAAAAAGAAAAAAAGAAAAGAAAAAGCCCCAGACATTTGTATGTTTTATCTGTTTTACTGAACAAGTAAAATTGGGTTTACTGGATCAGTAAACTCTGAGGGGAAAAAGGCTTGATTTAGATTTCCTATGACCTGGAGCAAGATGGAAACAACGGCAAACAAGTGTAAAATAACAAAAGCAATGTTTCAAACTTAAAGTAACAAAGTATTGGTACTGAATGTAATTTTCGTGTCCCATGTTAACAATGAACGGAACATTTTGTTTTTCCATCAGGAAGGTTAATCTAAACACTAACTCACATAGACATCAAGGACTTCATTTGTTGGGCCATCTGCTAAAAACGACTCCCCTGCAGTGCTGGAGATCTCGTTTGGGCGCCTGTAGGTGAACATTGTCCCACCACCTTCGTATCTCCCGGGCCGATCGATCGCCCAGTTCCCGTTGATGATGGACCGTCCCGAGCGGCTCCGCAGGGCTGCAGGGATGGGACACAAACACAAGGACTTGGGTCAGAGGAGGTCACCTCCACGCTCTGGTGCCCAACCAAATCCCCAGAGGAGCAGAGGACACTGTTAGGGATTCTCCAACGCCAAGGGACGAAGCTGTTGGAAGGAACAACTGGATTAGTGGTTGTGGAAAAAGAAAACCCCAAACGCGACCCAATCTTAGAAAGCTTTGTCTGAACACTTTGTATGTTTATGCTGCAGGAAAAGAAAGGAGAATCAAAGACAGTTTGGAAAACTTTACCAACAGTTTCTCTGGTCACAGGTAGTCATGTGACTCTCAGCGAGGCAGCGGCACACGCTGAACACGTACGGATGCCAAGGAAGTGGTTTTCCTCCACTTTCTTCCCATTGAATCGATTATTTTGTGATTTAGGCAGAACAAAACACTGAGTCAGACACAGGAAATCAGTACATTACACAGTGTAGAAGCACCAAACAATTTAGGGACACAGCAGTATCCTGAATTGCTAAAATATTCCAGTTATTCTTCATGGAGCCGCTTGGCCAGTGCCCCCATTTCCCTTTCAGAACAGGATTTTTGGCCAGAACATCTGCAGGGCCCTGATCTGCAGCACAGTCTGGAATGATGAGCTCTCTTGCATAAGAAAAAGTGACTTGCAAATCAGATGCTTGTCAGAGAAGGATAAAATATGGATCCAATATCCAGCTGGGCAGTGCATTCCCTTTGTTATCATGGGCAAGTCACTGCTTTAGTGACTCAGGTGCCTCTGTTCCTTCTGCTTCCTACTTCCTTTATCTGTTTATGTGACTAAGGCCTTAGGGTCAGAAACTCCTGCACATATATGTGCATAAGTTATATATTATATGTGCATGGTTATATATTATTTAAAAATATAGTAATATCTTGAGGTTGAAACCACATCAGACATTGTTTAAGCACACTGGAAAGACACAACCCTTTCTCTAAACTCATAGATTTTCCATTTTATTACGAAAGAGTTTGCTTTTAAATACAGACTTTAAAACAGACAACAAAATTTGCTAATACCTTTGGTTCTACATTGCTTGGTAATTTACTTTTTAAAATGTAAATTCAAGGCACAAGCTTTGAACTTACAAAAATTTAGGGTCAAGGATCCAGATATTCCAGAGACTGTTTCTTCTGTGCCATGCCCCAGCAACTGTGATACTCAGTTAAAATGCTCTCAAAACTACACACAACTATTCATGTTACTGGGAAAAACTTAAGAAGTCTACATGCATGGCCTAAATGATGGGAAATTAAATTTATGCCATTAATTCCAAAGTAACGCACATTAGAGAAGAAACTTAAATTGTTTGTACATATTCCAGACATCTGAATTGACTTAATTAATCAGTAGAAGCAGTCTTTCTGCTTTTGCTGCAGGCCTCTCAGTGAACACCAGTGTGACTGTGTGGAGAAAAACACCACAGAATGTCAGTGTAAAGGGACATCATGTTAGGATAGAAAAGGACAGCAAGAGAACCACCCTGCAAGGAACACTGTTCTTGTATATAAATAAGTGATTTTAAGTGCAATACTACTGCCAACATTTCAGAAAGCACGTCAACCACTTCACTACTCCTCTTTGACTACCTCCTTGTTGAAAGAAACCCTGTATTGTGAAAATTCCATAGTTACAGACAAAGATGCAGGCAAATATAGACATGTGGGTTAAAGGGCCACTACAAAATCCAGGGAATTGGACAGATCAGTATCTTCATGCACAGAGCAAGTTCTACCTTGGACCCTACCAAAGACTGAGCTGCTCTCCAGGCTCAAAGCCAATCCAGCAGAGAAGGCCAGGACAGAGCATCCTGTGTGAAGGGACAGTGCCACTGCCAGTGTCCTTGTCTAAAGTTTAACATTCAAAGTCTTTTTTCCCCCATAGGAGGGGTTGCTGGTGACTACCCAACTATATAATTTGCTTAATATTGCTGAAATCTTTTAAAGCAGATGACTTCACTGTGGTTTTTGTTAAATTCTGTAAGCAGTGCTTGGATACCATCACACTTAGGTCTCTTCTATGTCCTTACCATTGTTATTCATGAATGGAAGAGCAATGGCTCATTACACAAAGTGTGACTTTATCAGTCTTCAAACACCAACCAACTCCAGTTTTCAGGTTTGTCTGTGATTTCAAGTCAGCTTGCACTGGCTTGCCTTATGCAGAAACAGAGGTATGCAACACTGATGTATTATCTAATAACTAACAAACATCTGAATTGCAGTCACATGGGATTTATGAATCACTCCTGCACCAAACCAGTACTGTCACACCTCTTACAGAGGCAAAGGACTCAGCAACCTACTTTTTCAAAGTAACTTTTTCATAACAAAGGACAGGAAAACAAATGTGCAATCTGTAAATTTAAAATTTAAATTAGTTTAGTCTTTATTATTAGTATCCCAATTTCTGCAAGAAAAAATTTAAATAGTATTGAATCTGCTTTTAAAGGAAAACAAGACAGAAACTGAATACAATGGGTATAAAAGTAAACAATTATATTTACAAGAGTTTATATTATTGCATTTCCTTCTTCCTACACTGTAAGAATTTTTTTTTTTATGGTTCTGGACAAAATGTAAGATGTAGAAAGGTGAAGGATTAAAGCAGCTGCTACCACCAGCTCTGAACCCGTGAGAAAGAAGCCCATATTGCTGACAGTGTTTACTTCCAAGGAAATACATAGGGCAGGCCCTGGACCACTTGGCCTATAAAGAGCCTCGATGGGTGAAGTTTAAGACTTGTAATTCTCCCTGTCCAAAATCCTCTATGGATTTGAGTGGACAGGCAGAGCTGCACCCCCACAAACCTGGAGGGACTGAGTCACGGGGGAGAGCTGCCCACCTTTTCAGACTTTACTGACACACTCACAAAACAGTCTCTGCACCATAAACATGAGCTGAAAAATATTTTATACAACATTAGCTGGGAAAACGGCCTCATCATTACTCACACAGGGCTGTGAGGGAAAATTATGGCTCACACACTGTTGCACACAGGTTAAATATGAAACCCAGTCACATTGGTTACTTGCTATTTATACACTATTTACACTTGTTGCTTTTTAATTCAAGCAACCGTGGATTAAACACTTCTGCAGAATTTATTGGAGACTGGTTTCACGTTGGTTTATTAATGTGGAACACTTCCTCAACTTTTATGATCTGGGTATTTTTTCTTAGATTGATGCTAAACAAATAAGATAAATGAATTATCAAGAGCTCAGAAAAAAGCAAGAGCTGGCTAAGATTAAATTGTTATTAATAATGAAGCTGTAGAAAGATGGCTGTCTGAGAAACTGCGAGCACATTAAACTTTCATTTCAAATCCATCATATGACAGATTTGAAAGAGGCCTCTCCATAAAAAGGGAAAATGTTCCTCTTTTATGTTTTGATCACTCTGCAGCTACCACCTCAACTCTGCCCCCTGAAGAATTTTTATGGTGCTAATATTTTTTGCCAAAGCATGAAAGATTATGAAAAGCTCTACCATTAATTCCTCATGAGGAATTTCTCATACAGGCTGTAGTTCATTTAATCTATCTTTCATCTTCAAAACAGTTTTTTAACTAAAACAGTGTTGTTTACAGTGGTCTTCAATAATGTTTTGCACGAGCTGTACAGAGTATTTCAGGATACAAACTCTGATTAGCATTTCCATATAAGCAGTTTGATATATTTTGTAAATGTCTTGCTGAATGAGTCCCATTTTTCTAACCATATCTGAAGAGAAATATTTTATGTGTGGGCCTAATACCCACACTATTTGCAGTACACTTCCACCCAAAATAGGCACAGTACCAATAATAAAATGAAACCTCTCAGATCTGGCAACAGCACTAATATCCAGAGTAATACAGTACATTGTTCTGTCCTAAGGCCGTTCTGTCTGGGAGAAGTGTCCTAAGTCCCACTTAATTGCTTTACAAACCATAATAAGACTTCAGACAGACAGAATCAAAGTTATTTCCCATATACCAAAATGATGAAGGGTCTCTCATTTGGTCCTGACCCAAAGAGAGCGAGGCAGGGAACACTCCTCTCTGCTGGGAAGAGGATGCACGTCTGCAACTGTGGCCAGTGGGAATGGAAGGGAAGGCTCGTGCTGCTGAAGGCAACTGTGAATGTCTTGCTGGTGATTTAATCCAGGGAACCTGGACAAGCTGCAGATGCACTCAAGGTGCAAGTCAAAGATTGATAAGACACTAAAAAGTTCTTTGATAAACGTCCTCAAAGGAGGCACCAAGAACAGGCATTTGGGAGAGGAGAGTGGGGCTCTCAAGCTGCATTTGTTTTGCAGCTGCCAATTCAACCAAAGCATCTGACAGGCAACTATCTTATTTTTACACCATTAGCACAATTTTTACGTGGCACATCACATTTGGAGCGTATTTTTCATATTTTATTTTAATAAGCCTTTTCTTTTTTAGTTCTGTTGCTGTTTCAGTTGAATTAAAATGCAAGAATATCTTGGCCATACTAACTTTCTGTAGAAACAACACCACCTTCCCAGCATGTTTAAAGAAAATGCCCAGATACAGTTGCAGTAAGTAAGAAGACTAGTTCTGAATAAGCATTATGACCAAAGACATGAAAGAAATGCCCAATTTCTACTGTTTATGTTTCCTGCACAAAAATAAATTATATGGGGCTTTCAGAACTGAATCTAAAATACTCACACACTGGTTATAAAAATCAGAGCAGGATGGTGCATCTCGTGCTACCAAACCACCCAGATCCCCCTGTGCAATCTCCTGGGAGAATTCAGTTGGTTTCATGGTACAAACCATGAGGAACTTCACAGAAAGAGAAACTTGGAAGTGAGGGGTTTGTTGGAACAGTCCAATGAAATATGCACTAGTTCAAATGGATTCTCTGAAATTACTCCTTTCCAAAAGGATAGATATTTGCTGATTATTAGAATACACCTTAGTTACAGAGCATTAAGAATAAATTTGGCATGAACTGAATTATCTAT